ATAATTGCATAAGAAAAAGGTATAGTTACATTGTAGAATTTCATTGGGGTATTTGAAAGTTAGGTGAATGAGAACATCATTTAACATAACTTATTCAAATAAGGATTTCATCTATGTAATTTTATGAGGAAATGCTACAATGGCATTCTTTGTTAAGATTTGATCGTCTTTGGATGATCAACTGATGATAATTCATGCAAATGATAATCCTATTTGCATAATCTAGGGGGAATAATCTATCATTTGCTAGTCATAAAGGTTTAACATCATTTGGCGAATGTATGAAATCGTGGAACTCTTGTTGAATATGAAAATAAGATTGTCATTCTCGTTGATTATGCAATTGCGCAATATATATATGTGTGTGTGTGTGTGTGTGTGTGTGTGCGTATTTTGATTTTGCGCAATTATGCAACTGAATACCTCAATTGCATCATTAACGAGAATGACAATCTTATTTTCATATTCAACAAGAGTTCCACTATTTTATACATTCGCCAATCTCTCTCTCTCTATATATATATATATATATATCTTGTAAATGATATATCTTGTAAATGATATACTTGTGAATTCCAGTGACGCGAACTTAAGTAAGGAGGCAGCTTTCACATAAGAGATGAGGCAGGAGTTCATTTTGCACTGGGGGATTTGGGAAGAGCCAACTGTTGCTTGGGGCAAAGTTTCAAAATTCAATTTTGGAGTGGAGTGATTTGATTCAATTGTCTGCGCAATGAACTCGAGGTAAGGCTGTTTTTAGAGTGAAAATTGCGGCAGTTTAAAGCCCAAGTGACCCTCCCGGAGGTCCATCACTTGTGCCAAATTCTAATGGTGGACTATCGCACGTCCAGCTGGCAAAACATCCGACTAAGGCAGGCAAATTAATAATATCCGCGTGCCTGTGTACGACTGAACTCATAGATATGGTCAGGAATATCGACATGAATGCATCGTTACATTGCACAGTGCCCCACTTCAGTAGAAAGTCGGCAAGATTTACCGAGTGCAGTGAGGGGTGGCGGGCATACTTTTTGAGTCGATAATCCGCCATTACTGAGATGGGCACTAAGTACTAGACCTCTGGGCAGGTCACTAGTTATAAACTGCCGCAATTTTCACCCTGAAAACAGCCCGACATGTTAAGTGGAGTTCCACGCACAGGTAATTTCCGGGTTTGCTTTGCCACAAGCACTTGTGAAAGAGAGCACGCTTATGTACATGTAGAGGATCCTAGAGGACCGCACGTGTCCAGCATGAATGTACGCTGGAAAGTCGAGGAAAGTCTACTCTCCAAGAAGAGGTTTGGGTTTTTATGGTATTTTTAGCGTGTTTTTAGGCTTTTTTTATCGGGGTTGGTGGGAAAAAAATCAGTGCAAAAGAGACACCCCGATAAAAAAAGCCCCAAAACACGCTAAAAATACCCCCAAACCTCTTCTTGGAGAGTAAGGAAAGTCTTCTATTCGAAATCGTACATTTCTATGATGGATGCCCAGATTCCATTGGACGGTCTGCAATTGCCGGTAAATCAGAGAGCCAAAACATTTTGCCCTCACTGTTACTTCCAATAATAACGTACGCAGGACCTGGTATTCTTTTGGGTGTGTCTGTCTACCCGTGTGTTTGTCTGTCTGTCTGTGTTTCTGGATATCTGTGGCCAGCAGAAGGTCAGGATGGATTGTGATGGTATGTGGTATGTGGGTAGGCCTTGGATATTAATTGAAAGTCTCTAAGTATTAGTACTTGGATATTAATTGAAAGTCTTTAAGCTCTTATCGTTTGTTATTATTAGTGCCTTTGTAATATACCCGTATCACATTGTAATATATCACACAATTGCAAACCACTGTATGATATTCATTGTGCTCCTATGAATATAGTTTTCAGTACATTGCCGTGCTGGAGCTTAACCTGCAGTCATGCAACAGGACATAAAGAATGTGCATTGTGTCGTGACGAAGATCAAGGTCAATTTTGCGCTTTCGGCGGCTTTCCTTTGTACTGCAGCTGAACGCCTGGCCCTGGACGTTCTACTGGCCTGATATTTCTTGATGCAGTTGACCCCAGAACTCTTGTTGACCTAGCTGTTTTAAAAAGACCAGGCGCGGGGCTGATGTTGCTAAACTGGGATGGTCAGTTGACACATGACCAAGGGTCACTGAAGTGCTGACGGAAAATAAGGGCACAAAGGAAATTCCCCTATGTTCCATTCGCCCATGTTCAAACGCACATTTACTTATACGTATGGTCATATATTTGGTGATTTTTTGGACATGTCTGGTCAGTACAGTTCATGGTCATACATTTCAGACAGGCCACCTACAGGGATTGACCTGATTTGAGGGGGTCAATCTTGCGCACAACATCTAGGGCGGTCAAATACTACAGAACATGTACAGCACGTCGGCAAAACGTACTGCGCCTGCGCGAAGCCACGGTTTCTATTGGATGTTTGGGTTCACCGTTGCGTTTCAGAAGTTTGTCCGTTGCATAAGGCACAACATTTGAAAACTACAGACGGGACGCCATGTTTGAATTCGTGAACACGACTTTAAACTATACGTTCTGTAGAATTATTATGTACATTATGTTCCGGATTTCACATGGCGCAGTACGTTCGGACGACCTGCTTAACATGTTTGTTTGTATGTTTGTTTGTTTGTATGTTTGTTTGTTTGTTTGATTGGGATCTCCATTAGTGTGCCAATTCACACTATTCTTCATTGAGTCATGGTGACCATGTGTAAACAGATCTTCAATGATATGCAGAATTGACATGTTTTCTATGAACAGTTCCGTTGAAAATTGTTAAAAATGTGCAATTTATTAACTAAAAGGTCTAATGAAATTTTGAACGAATATATTCTAATCAGAAAATGGGAGGAAAAGATGTGCATTTGCCCACAAATGCTTCCAATTTTTCTCTTTTTTTTGTCGTCATCTTATTGAACAAAGAACTGAGATGTTAAGTAACTGAATTATTTGGTCAATTGAAGTACAATATTCTGACGAATTACGAACAGCATTGTATTTTACCTTAGATTCTAATTTATGTTTTGTATTACGTTTGTAATGTTTGTTGGACAGACGTTACCAGCTGAGTCTGCCTGTGTTGACCTAGTAATGTATCATGTAAATACTAAGTGCTTAATTTATCTATAAGTGACATAGCCTCTAGGTATTGTTGCAATCCTCGTACTTTTTGATGGTGATGGAGCTACTAGTCTTTTCTGAGTACAGGGCGTGTTTTTCTACTTCGGATACAAGGTTACTAGTTTATGAGCGGCACAGAAGAAAATTACTGTCCTCGTGCGTTTAATCTGCAGATTTTATTCAAACTTATGTACTCCTACATGAATGTTCCCATCATTACGAGGAAGTTCCCATCATTATAAGGAAATTACACTCCGAATCCACATGATAGATTACTTTCCTCGCGCCTACGTGTTTGCATTTGAAACGTGTTTTCCGATGTGACATTTACTTAACACGATGGGGCATACATGTTGTGCAATAAAGACTCTCATTCATTAAAACACGGACTTCCTTTCAGCAAAGCCTGGTTACTATCCTCCATAGGCTGGCTTATTGGTAGTCCTACTACGCATAATCTTAAGCCTCTCTTGACATGAAGGCATTTCTAAACTGTTGCCTATGCCTAACTATGGATCATGGCCCATGCAGACCATTTAATAGAATAAGGCCACAGCAAGTAATTTTTATGGATGACATCATTGATTTTTGCCTGATTTTGAAAGAAAAAAAATAGAAATTTTGTTACCCTTTGACAGTGGTCAACATGTCGAAAATAGGCAAAATGGCATGCCTTGCCATACTGGAACGTGTATGGCAGATAAACATGAAGAGAGGAGACAAGACAAGGCTCCGATTTATTGTTTTGACTTTTAATTTGATGCAGTGATGTATTTCATTCCTTTTATATGTTCCAACTGAATCAAAACCATTTGTACAACGATTGAAAACTTTCCTTTTTAAACAAAAGTTGTTTCGGTGACAAATGGATATTGTGATAGTTGACAGTTAAGTTAGCACAATGCACGTATCATTTCTTGTTACTGATGTCAGGTTTATGATGTCAAAATTTGAAAATATAGAAATCTTGTTTTTTTTTTGCCCGACTCGTTTCTTTTTCACCCTGTCGCATTAGATTTTGGAGTCTGCGGGTGATGTCATACATAAAATTTACTTGCTGTGGCCTAGTGGACCTGGGCGGGCGGGCAGTACTCTCAGCACCGTAGGCATTACCTGCGGAGATAGCCTATGATGGTCTGACTTTTAAGCTACTTTCTGCACTACTTTTAGAATATTGGTAACAGTGATCCTTGAAGTTCTGAATTTTAAGCCTCTTTTCCCTGGTTTGGTAAAAACTACTATGATGCAGAGAATATGGTGCATTAAAAAAGCGGTGTGCATATTCGAAATGAAAACATACCCTCCGCCCGGCCAAACACTCTTCTTCATCCTTGTCAACTTTTCTCCATCCTGGCGGACTGTGATGGAGATCAGAGTTATCGTGTTGCTCACCATTACAAGACCTTGGTCGAGTAGAGGACATGCCCCTTTGTTTTGTCCAACAACGCAAATATGGCTGGGCACGGGGCGGCGTCAGTAGGCGGCGGTAAGGTAATACGTGCGGGGAATGTTCCGTACATGAGACTGAAATAGCCTGGATGCCTGCACCCTGCGGGTTATTTATCCAGACTGCCCAAAGTGACGTGGAAATATTCCCACTGAGTGTCTGGGTACAGAGCACGTATGACCATCGTTAGAAACTAACTACTAGGGAAGCAGAGAAAAAGAGTTGTACTGTAGATCGGCTGAAGAAAAGTGGTAACCATGAACGCCTTTAAGAAGATATACTTAAAAACCAGTATCAATATGAACTGGAAGGAGCAGAAGTCGCTGAGGTATGTGGCGTTCTACGCGGTGTTCGCGCTGGGGATTGTGTGGTTCGTAATCATGCTTGTATAAATGTGTTCCAGAGACTGCCAGCTTCCAACATGTCTTCTAACGCCTCCGTCCCTACCTCTGACTCTACCTCACAACAACAACAACAACAACAACCAGGTACGTAAACACACTTCAGACGACCGACCCAACCCCCCACCCCCCACCTGCGGTCTCTCTTTTTATATTTAGCATGAATTCAATTTGATTGTTAGGGATATTGTGTTAGGGATATTATGTGTAGTGACGTTTTTGTACGTTTCATGTACATGTAGATGCAACATATATGATGACCAAGGAGGGGGGGGGGCGTGTATGATATACCGTACAGAATTGTAATAGTTTTTTTTGTGTGTGGGGGGGGGTGTTATTTTTCCTTTTATCATACAGCAGAGATCATTCATATGTTTTGATACAATCATACATTGATGAAAAATCTCGTACCTAATGGTTTTGGAGTGTGACATGCATCAGAGTTGATCGAATTTGTCTCTGAAGTATCACTTTCTGTGGGTCCATAAACAGCACATAGGTCAAAGGTTAGCCATGTCAACAGATAGATCAGTGACAGGGGTGACGTGTGGGTGACGTGTGGGCGGGGTTCGCGGGCACGTGATGGACACGTGATACACGCGAACAGGCTCTGACGTCTACCGAACTACTAGGCAAATATGTTACTTACGTACTAAACTTTAGTCGTCAGGCTCTGTAGCGCTCGTGACATTTCCTAACAAATTAGACTGTTCATTGATGTTTGGATAGTAGTATCCATCAGTCTCCGATGGGGTACGAAGTTCAATTGAATGACTGGTTTATTTGTTTAAAATGGTACATTGCAGGCATAAGCTGAATTGCTGAATTGTGTACTATTTACAATGGAGACACAATAGCTATACCCATGATGCCTTTAAAAACAAAACATTGAATATTCAGTACATGGTAAAACATCATTGAAATCACCTTTTGGTAAATCTCAGATTGGCCTACACTTAAGTAATCTTAAAGCTACACCATGACGATACAAAAAATCAATCCTCCTAACTTCTCGTTAACACAAGTTGAATAAAACCTGCCCCACTTTAAATAAACACTGTCCAAGAAGCATAAGTTCGAAAGTAAGGCACCCCCATATTATTATGTGTCTAAAAACAAATTCTGAGTTCAACTCTCAGTTTCATAGAATCATTACCACAACAACCTGCAGTTTCGTACAACCAGTTATTTCCAGATAGTTTCTTTTGTATCTGTTAACTGTATCCGTTCATCTTGTTTTGTTGTGACCTGTACTTAGCCAACTGTGTCAAAAATTAAAATGTGCAATAAAGGTCTTCATTCATTCATTATAACACACATTATGTCAGTAAAATCACTTACTTTTAGAACGTTTAGCCCTTTTTGTTATAATGATGTATGAACACAGACGAACTTTCATGCTAATCTTCTGTAATGTCCAGCTCCGAACCCCGCACCCCCGGCAGGAGAGGGCTCCCGACCGAACCTGTGGTCCAAATCTAGCGCTATAGGATCAAAATGGCACAATGTAGCTCAACTCATTATGAAGCGACAAAAGGAAGAAGCAGAGAGTCACAAACATGACTTATTCCAGGTAAGTTTGACTTCTTAAAATCCAGCGTTCCCAGATCATCAAAAGTCGGTTAGACCATGTTTTGATTAGGCCACAGCTAGAGATTATTATGGATGCCATCAGCGAGTGCAATGATTTTCGCCTGATTTAAAAAAAAAAAACGCAAAAAATTTTGTTTCTCTTTGACAGTGGTCAACATGCCGAAAATGGGCAAAATGGCATGCCTTGCCATGCTGGAACGTGTATGGCGGATAAACATGAAGAGAGGAGATACGACAAGGCTCTGATTTATTGTCTTGACTCTTACATTGATACAGTGATGTATTTCATTCCTTTTATATATGTTCCCACTGAATCAAACCATTGATGATTGAATGATTGAAAACTTTCCTTTTTCAAAGTTGTTTTGGTGATAAATGCATGTTTTCATAGTTGGCAGTAACGTTAGCACAACTGTATCGTTTCTTGTTTACCAGGGTTAATGATGTCAAAATTAAAAATGTAGGAATCTTGTTTTTCTTTTGGCCCGCCTTGTTTTTTTTCACCCTCTCACATTAGATTTCGAGTCATCCATAAAATTAGACTTGACTATTTAGCACATTTATTTAGTTAGTATTGGAAAAAGTGGGTAAAATACGTGTTAAGAGAAAAAGTGGTGATAATGCGTAGTTTTTACTTGTAACCCAATGAATTATCATATATTAGTGAAAAAATGATGAGTTAACACCCCTCTAACTCATTTTTTCACTAATAAGAGATTCCATGAAACTTATACTAGTGAAAAAATGAGTTAACACCCCTCTAACTCATTTTTTCACTAGAAAGTGATTGTATAGAACCTCTTACTAGTGAAAAAATGAGTTAACACCCCTCTAACTCATTTTTTCACTAATAAGAGACTTCAGTGAACCTCTTACTAGTGAAAAAATGAGTTAACACCCCGCTAACTCATTTTTTCACTAATAAGAGACTTCAGTGAACCTCTTACTAGTGAAAAAATGAGTTAGCGGGGTGTTAACTCATTTTTTCACTAATAAGAGTCTCCATAAAATCTTTTCTAGTGAAAAAATGCTCATTTGTTCACGTTTTAACGACCTCTGCCTCAACTTTTGTCCAGACCTCCTGCATCTCCGTGCCATTCGTTTGTTTTTCTTCCACTCTCTCCATCTGATAGCTCTTTCCCCCTAGTCTGTGTTACGCAAACTCTGCCGTCGGCGGCTTCACTGGCCCCTCCCCGCATTTTCGGGGGGCCGGCTGGATGTTGGGCGGCCGGCAAAAGCGATTTAATCAGGCTAGTTTCCCCCTAGCCCCCCGCAATCTCCCTCCCAGTAATCATCTTTTGCGGCAAGAGCCCTGTCCGCCCGCCTCACACAGGTTTCCCCGGTGATTAGCCCTCCACTAACAAATCCCCAAGCATACTGTCTCTTATTGGCGTAACACTCCTACCGGGACGGTCTGTTGCACTTGGCGGGGGAAGCTTTTAGAGCCCCGAAGACACAGCCTGCCTGAACACCCCCAATCACGTAAAACTGGATGCCAGGCTATTCACGAGGCGACACGGGCTGGTTTCCCGATCTAGCCGGGTGGGTTTATAACGGCACGTAGAACACCCCACCCACCGGCCTGGCTCATCGAAGATTATATTTTAAACTCCGCCCCTAATAATATATTCATTGTAGCTTGCCGAAAGATCGGGTAGGAGTATATCTACATGTAGCTGGCATTTTTAAGTCGTACTGGCTGGTGTAGCCCCGTTACAAAGTAAAGTGAGCCTAAGGGGACTGCTAACAGCAGGGGTCACTGTCAGTGAGCCGTACTGTCACAAAGAGTAAAGAGGCATTTTCTATAGGCAAGTGTTTACACACTGTGACAAAACTCACACTGCCGGGGTTTAGTGTTAATGTCCGCCACCCAAAGATAGGAACGCCATAGCCAGGCCACAGATGGCCGTGTTTCAGGGCGGTGTAATTTAATCTTGGCAGCGGGACGACGACCATGTAATGATTTGATCTGGCCTAACCAGGCAGGGCTTAATTTATTTTTTCACTAGTAAGAGATTCAATGGAGTCTCTTATTAGTGAAAAAATGAGTTAGAGGGGTGATAACTCATTTTTTCACTAGTAAGAGATTCAATGGAGTCTCTTATTAGTGAAAAAATGAGTTAGAGGGGTGTTAACTCATTTTTTCACTAGTAAGAGGTTCACTGAAGTCTCTTATTAGTGAAAAAATGAGTTAGAGGGGTGTTAACTCATTTTTTCACTAGTAAGAGGTTCACTAGTAAGAGCTTTATAAAGATATTTCTCTTATTAGTGAAAAAATTATGTGTTAACGCAGGTAAAGGTTCTTAGCACGTGTATGGAATGAAATAGTTATCTGAACGAAAAAAATGAGATAAATAGCTAGCTCTATAAAATTTACTTACTGTGGCCTTATGTGTAGAACAAAGTGGACTTACGCCGCTGTCACAAATTCAGAACCTTCCCCCGATCAAAAGCCGACCAAGTTTGGCTGAGATTCGGGAGCAGTCTGACGGGATTTAGGCCACACCTACATTTGTATACGAATCGAATTTTAGTAAAATTTGAATCAAATGTGACCGCCAAACACGTCCCGACCTAATCTCGAACACCAGCCAACTACCGGCGAACCACGGCCGAACCTCCCTTACACACCAGAGTGTTATTTTGAAACATTCGGCTGGCGCAGCCGACCAGTAGCCGACCTGGCCGAACACCACTACTGCCAACCATGGTTGGGGGAGTTCAGGGGATTTAGCATTCTCTTAGTCCGCTGAGTCACGACTCGAAGTCAAGTCGCAGATTTGATGCGCCAATTCTAGAAAGATTAACGTGATCTCTACTTTGTTGGCATTAATCGTTTCAGACCAAGATACTCGACTTCAAGTTGAGGTATTTCAAGAAGTAGTTCTCGTAATGCAGTGATTTAACAAATTAGAATACACATTTACCTTCACCTTGAGTCATCCTCGTGTCATCATCATTTCAATATGATGTAACATCAAATCGTAGAGCGTCCAAGTGAGTCATCTGCTTGAAATACAATAGGGTGGATCATGTGGCGCAGAGACTGTTTGGCTCGGAACCAAGAGGTCCCGGGTTCGAGTCCTGACATGCTACCGACCTTGTGCCCTTGGGAAAGGCACTTAACACGACTTTCTCCACTTCGCTCAGGTGAAAATGAGTATTGTATTGTCCCTTGTGTCGGTGGCGGCATTAATATAAGGTGGAAAAAACTTGAGTGTGCCGTCACCACGTCTTGTGACTACATGTTGGAATGAAAAAAAAATACAGTACATTTTCCTTGACTTGCAAACACGATAATGCAGTTTTTTTCTTATGTTGTGTCACTGATTATTCTGAACAGGATTACGAAGTGGGTGAGGACTGCCCTATTGTTTTCGGGGGCACGAAAGAAAAACACATCGATGAAGAGCTTCAAGAAAAATCAACGGAAAAGACGTAAGTATGCTTCAATTTCACCTATATGGGACGTAATCGTGGCATCAAAATTTGGTGCAGACAAAACGGTCTTGTCAAACTGAAATTCGGTCACTCAATCTATCAAGCCATTCCGTCTCCATGTAATTTTCTTTTCCTTGTTACATATTGAGTTCGAGGAACACATGCCTTCTCCATGTAAAGCTGTTTTTAAGTGTTAGTATTATTAACCTTTGAAGTTATTATGATATGGTGGTGTAGTCTTGTCCATCAACTCCTTTGAGATGTAAGGAGGGATTACCCTCCATCCAAGCCCCTTATTTCCTCGTGCGGGTTATATATTAGTGAAGCTACCAACACGGACAGGTGCAAGGCTTCTAGAGTCATACCTATAGTTATACGTATACTAATCAACAATCAACACATGCTGCAATGCAATACCGTTGGAAAAACAGCTGCGCACATGCCAAATATAAAAAAGATCCACCCACAACTACTCGAGTTACATACAGACCCAGAGCACAGCCACTCCAAATGACCCAAACCGAAATCATACCCTTTTGATGAAGTTAATGATATGATGATGACTGGTTTGATGGCTGGTTTATTGATTAAAACACTTTGCAGCCCGGAGGCTGAATTTCATGTTTCATTACATTCCTTGCCCACCATAACAACTTTAAAAGATCATTCTAGCTAATTTACGAATTTAATTGAAATGCAGCTTCTACATACATACATACATACATGATGAAAACACATAATACATCAATTATTTGCATTTATAAATCGTTAAGGAGTTTCATAATGTAGGACAAGGGGCTCTTGGAGTAACGCTTCGTACGTGCTACAGTACCGTCGAATTTGTTTTTTGTTTTTGCCTTGTTACCCGCCCTGTTACTTTGCCTCTTGTCTGAGGAAGCCAGTGGTGATAGAGAGTTAATTTGCACAGTTTTATGGTTATAAATTGCTGTTCTTCTTACTGACACAGGAGAAAGTCTCGCAAGTTCCTGAAGAAGGCCATGACGGCAACATCAGAGGGAACAGCGGAGCCGTCAGCCTCGTCTGTACCCATGAAAGACCGAACAAACGTGGAGTATCAAAGGGTTCTGGTGGATGGAGAGGGAATCGCAGGGGTGAATATCGATATTTCATTCATTTATTTTCATTACGATTTTTCTACATACATGGAAGACATGATGGGACAAGTGGACATTAGGACACCTTTTCAAAGCCATCATGCCAACAAGGTCATACAAGTACATAAAACAATAACACATTACTTAACATTACATAAATATACATATAAATACACTTATTGTAGCATACTAGTAGCACTGTATGTACAACTTATGGCTAAACTGAGTTTGAGTTCCACATTTACTGCCAAATGTCAAAAGTATGAAATTTCCACCACTCACTATTATGCATATGCATTATGCACTGGTGAAGCAACATAGCGATCAGACTGAAGTATGACTGCGTTGAAGCCGGCTCCAAACTACCTCCAAAAGGTGGTTTGGGAACGAACCGGCTTCAACGCATGTATGTAAATATTCTTCAATGTAGCTCCTAATCAGAATATGTAATATGTCTAATCATAATATATAATATGTATAACTTGACATGAGCGTGTTTTATTATGTTTATCTCCGAAGAAGTGTTTATCTCCGAAGAAGGAAAATTTCGAAGGAAAACATATTGTTTTTGCTCTGCTTCTTCTTCCTCTTCTTCATCAGGATAAATATCCTGATGAAGGCGACAGTGGTCGCTGAAAATTTGATCTGTGTAAATTGTGTGTTCAACGTTTTACTAAGAGCAGAACTTTGTTAGGCTAGACCATGTGAAGGTAAAAATTATGCATTTGGTCAGTGCCTGGAGAGGAATAGCAAGAAATTGAGTAAAAACAACTTCGGTAAACATAATAGGTAATTTTTTACACCATAGGTTCCTCTCCGTGACCTCCAAGACGCATCCAAAGGTTTGCTAGAAGCCCTGGCCATCAGGGAGAAATACATGCGGCTCAACTTTCAGAGTTACCCCAAAACTACGTCCCGTTACCTGCGTATGGTGGACAATGAACCTACTCCGAACGAAAGTGACTTCACGGGTGTTGATGAGGGTAGGTCTTTCTTTAATGTTTATTACTTTTTTGCACAAATTAAATCATTAATTAAAAAAAACACAAAACAAAGAAATAAAAACAGTGTGCGGGAGGAGGAAAGAAGCCTGCAAGGCTTGTACAATGTCCTTCTCCTTTAAACGTACTAAATATTAATCATGAGGCTAACAAATGGTAAATAATGATAAATAATAATAATAAAAATAATGGTTTATTCAATTATTAAAATATATACAAGTATCAAAATATGTAGAATACAGTCCCACCTGGCAGCCAGAGGCTGAATTGCGTGGGAACTGTTTCCATTAGTTTCCATTAAAACAAAGGCATAACCGTTATCTCAACCAAACATTTACGAACAGGATAAAATTAACGAACCATAAAAGCCTCTTAAGCAGATTGAAATGAACAGGTCAGATTATTTTACAGGTTCAGCAACCGTTCCATGTGTGGTATTGCACTGTCGTGGTATCTTACAGGTTTTACAGTAAATACTGTTCATTTTGTGGGATGTTCGGGTGTTCATACCACTTATTTCCTGTCGTGAAGGCGGTAGGAGATGTCTGTACTGTTCAGATTGTTCAAGAGACCTGGCGAATTTAACCGTCAGTTCTTCGCGGCGTGCTTTAAGGGGTGGGAGGGCAAGTTGTTCGCACGCTTTTGAGTAAGAGATGAAGTCTTTCCCCATGATGATTCTCAGCGCCCGGCGTTGCACTTTCTCGAGTTTGTTGCAGAGGAGAGTAGAAAGTCCGGAATGCCACACGGGAGCAGCGTATTCCATAACTGGACGGATATAGGTAGCGTAGACAGTCACGGGATCATCAATCGGGAGATGGAAGTGTTTCAGTTTGCACAAGAGGTATAACCTTTGGCTGGCTTTGTGGTATATCGTGTCGACATGAGTGTTCCACTTTAAGTTCGCTTGAAGGTGGATTCCCAGGAGCTTCATGGACCTAACTTCCTGGAGGAGAACGTTGTTTTATGGTAAGTGTTCCGAGGGATGTGTGGAGCTTTACTGAAGTGAACATACATAACTTTACACTTCCCGGGGTGACTTTCCTTTGACCATTTGTCTAAATCTGTGAGGTCCTGTTGCAGATACGATGGGCTACTAGGTGGATTTCGGATTTCTAGTAAGTTTAAATCATCCACGAACTTCCAGCGCTTGAACGAGTTTGCTTGTTGTGCGGCACTGTTGATGTAGGCCGTAAATATAAGCGGTTTCAGTAAATAAATGTCCCCTGAGGCAGGCAGCATGTAACCGGGACAGTGTCGGAGAGAACCCCGTGATACCGTACTGCCTGGCTTCTGCTAGTGAGAAAGTCGGTGATCCATCGGGCTAGCGATGGCCGCAGTCCGAGTTCTAGTAAGCAGCAGATGGCAACTATGTGACCAAACAGGTCAAATGCTTTGCTATAGTCAGTGGACACAAGGGAGCAAATGGTGTTGGGTCTGTCACAGGCCTTGAATAAAGAATGAGTCATGTCAAGTAGGCAGTGGGTTGTAGATCTACCTTTGATACCTCCAAATTGCTGGGTGTCAATATGTGGTAGTATATCTGTCATGGCCCACTGGCAGATGAACTTCTCTGCTACTTTACTCAGAAGTGATGTTAAAGAAATTGGAGGACGTTCATTTAGGGACGGTGGCTTAGTCTTGGGGACAGTTGCGTTTTTCCATTCTTCTGGAACAGTGCCCTCCAAGAGCGAAGAATTAACCCTAACCTAGACCGGGCTTTTTTGGGCTTGGTGGGACTCGGTGTATCGGGGGTATGTCGTATGACCACCAGATCTTCAGAGGATGGTGTACTAGTAAAAAATTTATATCAACAATTTTTATGTCGTTATGACGTCATATGACGTCATGGTATACAACATAACTTTACCAAGTGTTTATGACAGAATATTAGGGTGTATTAAGTCTTATGTTGCCCATAGCAACACTGGTGACGTCATAAAATGACGTCATGCATATTTAAGATATCTGCCATCTTGGATCATAAATCTTGAATTTCCAATGCATTTTATTTCAGACACCGACTGGGCAGGGAAATACGGCGATCCTTTCCGCTGTCGTAACATACCAGAGAACTTGAATTACGCTTACAAAATGGTGGAGGGAGTGGTGTACGTGTATAAGGATACTGCCAGCATGGATGCCGGGAAGCCCGTAGAACTTCCGTACCCCGACAAGGATGCCTTCCTGAAAGACTATATGCTGATGCTGGCTCTGATGAGTGATGGGCCGATGTACGTATTTGCCTTCACATGATTGATGCTGATTGGCCTAATGAAATGAATTAACCAATCACTGAAGAGTTGCTGTTCGGGATTGTGACAATTGGTCTAACGAATTGGTGATTGTTCTGATTGGGCTGATTGGTCTAACGAAATAAATTAACCAATCACTGAAGAGTAATATTTGCTATTCGGGAATGTGACAACAAGTAATCCGCATGCAAGTAATATCTAAATGCTGATTGGATAAGAAATGCCCAATCTGCATGACTGATTGGCTATCTTTGTGATCGGTCTAAAAACTCCTACCATAGCCTTATGTAAAATCTATCACCCCCGTCAAAGGGTATTTTGGTGCCCTCTGGCGCTAGTTTTTGATCTCAGAAGCGAAACAAATGTGGTACAATTCTTTTTTTTTTCAGAAAATCCTTCTGCTATCGCCGCTTACAGTTTCTAGACTCTAGGTTCAAGATCCATCAACTTCTGAATGAACTTGCGGAGTCGGCCGAGACAAAGCAGTCACCACATAGGGACTTCTACAACGTTAGAAAGGTGAAACAAAGTTGCTGAATTTGTGCGCTATTGAACAATAGTGGTGACATGATGCGGGGGCTAAGTGGAGGGCCCAAAATGGGAACTTTTGTAGTCCTTATCAGTTGAAAATACATTTTTTTTCTCGTGAAAATATTAGTCCAGTTCGGAGACTTTAACCAAGTTTTGTTATGTCACCAGTTTAGTGGGCATATTAATGAGAGACCTGAATGATGAGGTCTTGCCTGCCCAGAGCGGATGAATACATGATAAAATCAGGTCAAATGTAGGGTTTGTTTACTGTTGTCAGAGTTTGAGCTGGTCAACAAATGTGCATCCTAAGTATAGTTTACTTTGTATATTTGGGAGGCAGACTTGTGACTCTGTTGTATAAGAATTGTTGAGGTTGATGTTTGGGAAGGTACTTTTATGAGTCCTTATTTAAGTGTATTTAACTGTAGTTTTCAATGGTCAAACATTATAGTGGCCTAAATCTGCCTTTAACCGTGACTCACAGTGAAAACATTAAGTGCACATGTCGATGACCCTAATTTCCTGTCGAACTTCACTAGCTGACAAAGTTGAAACATTCGACACGACTATACGGAAACTTTCTTCATGCAGCTTGGAAGTTTCATCTCTATCAACGCATTCAATAATGTTGTGTACGGATTTGTGGTAACATCACGTGCCCCCCTCCCCACCAGGTGGACACACATATCCATGCCTCCGCCTGTATGAACCAGAAGTCTCTCCTCAACTTCATGCGAACTAAAATCAACCAGTTTGGCGGAGAAATCGTCATCAAGGCTGACAAAAAGGAAAAGACACTAAAAGAGGTAAGTATTTGAAATGTGAACATTGGTTCATGGAAACTAATGTTAGGCCAGAAATTTTTACTTCTTAGTTGTAGATATATGTCACATAAATATATACCAGATATCATAGCATTAGTATCCAAAAATGTCTGAAAACAATTCACTTACACTGTCCGAAATTTTTCCTTAAATAATTTCATCATGTAAGAATTAGTGCACTATGCACCAAGTAACATCTAGTGTCAGTCCACAGTAAACCTGCCAGAATTGCCCTGATGAAGATGACAGTCGGTCATCAAAACGTCGGCTCGTAAAAATAAATGGTTGTGATCAAAGAACTTTGCTATTAATTCACTTACAGTTAGTATTGGAAACATGTATAAACGCCTGTCTTTCATACATTTCGTATTTCTAAATCCTATGTTCTCCCTGATACAGGTCTTCGATGAAGAAAGTTTAACAGCGTACAACCTGACAGTGGACAGTCTGGATTGTCATGCAGTGAGTCTTGCTATTTCCCTAGCTATTTATCTACAACAGTAAGTTTCTTCATTGTTGAAGTCGGCATTATGGCAAGGATAGGAAAGCATCCAAACGTTCGAATTCCCAAAAGGGAAGTGAACCTTATTGGCACTGCCATCAACATGCAGTACTACTGGTGACATGCTTTTCTGCTGTCACAAATATTGGTTGTCTGTAGTATCAATTTTGGATATTATTCTTCGCGGAAGGAACATGTTGTTTTTGCTCAGTTTCCTCTTCGAAACAAATAAGGTCAACGACATGGGCCGAGCGACTGCCACCATGGTAACTGGTGATGTAGCAGACACCCTATGGTGTGGTATTACATTATGTAGCAAGTGGCAGAACATGGAGTTGGAGTGGCTGTGTTTATGTCTGTGTGTTTAATCCTACCTAGACCGGGCTTTTTGGGCATGGGGGACGGGGGGGGGG